ACACAAAGACTTAAAGGTGTGTCATAGCATAATGCTAATTACATAAGGAGCAGATTAATACCGTTTAATCAGATTATACTCTGGACATGAGTGACAAAACAACATGGAAAGTCTGATTCAGGAATAATACAGCAACAGTGAGGTATTCTTAATGTTCCTATGAATTATAGAACACCCACAAACTATATAATTAAGATGAATGAATTTAAAAGGGATGTAAAAGACTGTTGTGAAAATTTAAATATTAAGTATATAAACAAAATCCAAGTAGCACAACTCTATATTTAGTTAGCTACAGTATACTAAAAACTGCTGTCAGCATCCATAAATCTCAAGACACTATGAATAGCTGTCACTAAATATGGATAAGTGCACTTCTTTCACTTGATGTACATCTATGTACACTAGTAATGTGTAGGGCTTTAAATAAAATAATGCTGCAATATCCTACTGATGAGCCCAAGTTGAAATTCCTGACAATGTAACACATACTACTGAGATAAAGAGCTACATGTATTACATGACCCATTCTTATGCATAAAACAAGATGAAAAAGGAAAATAGGCCTACCAGCCGATGAGATGAAAGAAAGGATGGAAGGTCAGCTGAAAGACACAAAGAACTGAAATTGTCCGCCAAGACGTTTTGAAGTGTGCCCCTCTCACCTTATTCCCTTTCTTTCCCTGGTTTCCTTCTCTCTTGAACTCTCTCTCTCTGTACCGCCACCCCCTGCTTAGTAATCAAGGTTAAAATCTGTGCAGTTACTTTCTCTCCTCCTTCCACACTGCACTAAAGCTGTTGAGTACACCATGGGCCTTGCATCACTAATCCAAACAGCTCTCAAAGCCATCATGACTGAAGCCAGGGTTTGAACAGGGGATCTCTTTATGAATAACTTTTAGATTCATACACTATAATGCAAGATCTACATGTTACTACTTTATAATAAGTTTTAATGTTTACATTAGTTAGTGCATTACATTAAATTCACGGTCATTTTTTACAGTGTAGGTATCATGAACTAACAATGAACAATAATTTTACAGCATTTATTAATGTTAGGTTACATATACAAATACATTGTAATTTCAGTTAGCATTAGCTAATGTATTATGCATTGAACAGTTAACAATGAAAAGTTTTTTTAAAAAAAGACAGACAAATTTAAGCATAATTACCTTTGTAATTAAACTGGTTAATAAATGCTTGTTCATGATACTGAATGCATTAACTCATGTTGATGAATTGAAAACTTACTGTAAAGTGCAGTGTAGCAGCATAACATTTTATTAATTTAAATATAAATATGGAAACGGTTCAAGCTACTGAATATTTAAAAAATCAGCACTGAAACCCTGAATATACAATATTCTTTTTCATGTTTCATGATAAAAGGATTGTTGCCATTGTTTTTTAAAGGAATTACTATTTGATTCTCGTTTATACATAATTTCCAAAGTATACTGTTTTATCCTTATGTTGATAGCATATACAATCCTCATTATATACGTTAAATACCGTAATTTCATTAACTGATATAATGTTAATATACCAATCTATTGAAGTACTGAACTCTGTTTTGTACCTTTGTAATACACTGATAACCACCAAATGCAGGTGGTGATGAGAAAGTCACATGATGAACCAAAGCCCATCACAAGCAGCTTTTAAATAATAACATATATAGAAGCTGCACAGTGTGTCATTCACACAAACACTAAACACCATCACGGTAACACACATGAAACTGAAATAATGCAATAAACATTCATTTAACAACGTTAGGTGTAACACACAACCCTAATATACAAAACTGATAAGAAAAAACTAAAAAGAAACATAGTTATTTCAACAAAAAAAACATCATATTTGAAATGTAACGCAGGGAATTCTGGGAATGTCAATTTACGGTTATTCACTGTAAATTATACGGTATTTTTCACTTCCAAAAACGGTATACTACCATAAAATTTATGTCCAATACATGTAATCTCCAATACAGTTTTTCACCGTATATAGTAGGGGAATTTACCGTTAACCATTTAACAGGTGTTTACGGTAGCATTTTTACAGTCTTTTACCGTTAAATTCACGGTCATTTTTTACAGTGTAGGTATCATGAACTAACAATGAACAATAATTTTACAGCATTTATTGTTAGGTTACATATACAAATACATTGTAATTTCAGTTAGCATTAGCTAATGTATTATGCATTGAACAGTTAACAATGAAAAGTTTTTTTAAAAAAAGACAGACAAATTTAAGCATAATTACCTTTGTAATTAAACTGGTTAATAAATGCTTGTTCATGATACTGAATGCATTAACTCATGTTGATGAATTGAAAACTTACTGTAAAGTGCAGTGTAGCAGCATAACATTTTATTAATTTAAATATAAATATGGAAACGGTTCAAGCTACTGAATATTTAAAAAATCAGCACTGAAACCCTGAATATACAATATTCTTTTTCATGTTTCATGATAAAAGGATTGTTGCCATTGTTTTTTAAAGGAATTACTATTTGATTCTCGTTTATACATAATTTCCAAAGTATACTGTTTTATCCTTATGTTGATAGCATATACAATCCTCATTATATACCTTCTAAACTATTTCTTGTTTCAATCTATTTTAAGAAAAAGACAGCCTTGATTACATTTCATCAGTTTAGTTTATTAATCCTGCAGCTCTTCCAATGTAAACTTTCTATACAAAATCCTCACTGCTTTTCATTCAGCTCTTTATTTAAACTGTACAAACAGGCACTCAGTTAAGGCACTGAGAATTTACATCAAACTTTCTATGCTGAAAAAACAAGTTCCTGAATTCAACTGAAAACTTTGAATAGTATTGATTACATATCATGGTATGAAACTTGAATCGCTGTCACACACAATTTAAACCGTGTTAATGAGAGACAACAGGAGCAGTCCTTATAGAAATGTTAGTTGGAGAATGAACCTAAAATGGCCAAGATTGATAAAGCAGTTTATGCCGTATACTGTATGCTGGACAGAAGTATATTAAGTAAGTACTGTTCATAGGGTCACATTAAAGGGACAGTTCACCAAAAATTTTTAATTCTGTCATCATTTACTCATCCTCATGTCATTCCAAACTTATTTTAAGAAAAAGACAGCCTTGATTACATTTCATCAGTTTAGTTTATTAATCCTGCAGCTCTTCCAATGTAAACTTTCTATACAAAATCCTCACTGCTTTTCATTCAGCTCTTTATTTAAACTGTACAAACAGGCACTCAGTTAAGGCACTGAGAATTTACATCAAACTTTCTATGCTGAAAAAACAAGTTCCTGAATTCAAATGAAAACTTTGAATAGTATTGATTACATATCATGGAATGAAACTTGAATCGCTGTCACACACAATTTAAACCGTGTTAATGAGAGACAACAGGAGCAGTCCTTATAGAAATGTTAGTTGGAGAATGAACCTAAAATGGCCAAGATTGATAAAGCGGTTTATGACGTATACTGTATGCTGGACAGAAGTATATTAAGTAAGTACTGTTCATAGGGTCACATTAAAGGGACAGTTCACCAAAAAATTTTAATTCTGTCATCATTTACTCATCCTCATGTCATTCCAAACCTGTATATATCTTTCTTCTGCAGGACAAAATAATGTCTCTTTATTGAAACACTCTTTAAATGATCTTCTGTGTTCTGCAGAACAAACTGTTTTCTTTGGAACAACATGAAATGATTTTCAGCACAGACATTTGAATTTTGGGTAAACCATGCCTTTAAAATATGTACCTTTTTGAAAGGGTACCACCCTAGTAACAGCTTTTGTACCTTTTTTTTTTTTAAAGTGTTGGCTGAAAGGCTAAATTGGTCAAAATGAAAATTGTGTCATCGTTGACTAAACCATGTGTTGTTTTAAACCAATTTGACATTTTTCCTCAATGAAGGAGATATTTTGAAGAATATCTAGACTGCTCTTTTGCAAACAATGAGACCAAAGGGTGACCAGAGACTGTCAAGCTCCAAGAAGCATCATTAAAGTGGTCTTCTAAAGGCAAATCGAGTAGTTATGCACTGAAAATTGTCTCAGATTTCATTCATATTTGCACATATTCAAATATGGCACATAAGATTTGATGTCAATGGTGCCATATATTGTAACTGGTTCTCACATGTCACATAAGTGCTCACAGCACACACATTTGAATATGCGCACATTCAAATAAGGACATTTGAGTTAGATTTGAGAAGTAAATACATTTGACTATTCACTTAATAACAATGTAAAGGTATCATATAATATATTGCCCAAACCTCACTTTTTTTGGTCATATTTGGAGTCTGACAGCCCCTGGTCATCATTCATTTGTTCTATGTGAGAGAACAGCGTGAACTTCCTGTCTAACATCTCCTTTTTGTGTTTGAAAAATGAAAGTCATAAAAGTTTGGAACAACGTTTGGGTGAAAAAATTATGACAGACTTTTCATTTTGGGGTGAATTATTCCTATAAATGATAAAAATAAACAGGAGCAGCACATGCAATTTTAACTTCCTCATATATCAAGGTAGGCACTTTTCTCTAAGCAAACGAGACCTGAGATGAACTGAAAAAAACCCTCTGTCTTCAGATAAAAGTGTTCACTTGGCAACACCTATTGGTTTTGATTGTGCTGATTGTGTTGGTTACATTATACTTCCCTGGCTGAGGCGAATGATTCAGTGGTAATAGTGATAATACAGTCATGACATAATCTTGATTCTAAAGAATGCAGCTAGTATGAACTCTGCTCTGAACTGAAGCGTGTTTGTGTTTGCACAGGGAGTGCGACTGAAACTTTGATACTCCTTTGATTACCTATTGAAAGGTTGAAGTTTATTGTTCAGGTTAAAACCTCAATTCATGGATTACCAAATTCAAAATTTGAACCTCAGACCTTTGGGTTACCACCAGCCCAAAACTTTAACCACAATGCTACCAATACCAACATTACTGAGACATACACATTTAGTCCCATAAAAAAATATAGTTAAGAACACAAATGATGCCTTTTAAAAGAGATTCAAACAAAAAGTCCTCTACCTCTGACAGTTGTCTTTGTTCTTCATCAGCTTGGGGCGGTGGCCACGTTAAATCCAGTTTTCCAGTGGATTGACGCACTATAAGCAGAAGACAGATGTTTATTTCAGTGAATCTAATGTATAATCCATTAATGAACTAGATGTTCATGACAATATGCATGCATAATAATCACTGAGTGAGAAAACAACAAAGTACGGACAAATAGGCACACATTTTCTTATAGTATCATTTTATATTTCTCTAAAAAACTTATTTCAAGTATTTAAAGCATTTATATTGAGATTTAGATGAGAAACATGAATGAGGTGTGTCCAAATATAGCAGAATTTGTCACTATGAAGGGCAATGAATAAAAAAATTTGAAGATTTTTCTTAGAAGAAAAATTGATTAAAAATATTACTCAAACATTTACTACTGGAACAGACCCACAGTTCATACAAGTCACTTCTATTGCATCACATTAGTATAAAGTTATGACACCGGCAATACTGGTCTATAACTATTAGCTGCCCTTACATAAATGTACCATGGTTACCGCAGTTTCCTCAAAATTACCATAGTTAATAAAAGTTGTTATTACAGTAACGCTAAATTGATATTGGCCACCATCAGTCAAGGAAGAATATAAAATGACAGAATATGAAAATGTTTCACTCTATTAGAAGGTGATACCGCACAAATTTAGATTTTACAGCAGGAAAAATAAATGTACTATGACATTTTGGCAGAAATTGTTATGCTGAATAATTGTAAAGGATTGCTCTTCTGAGTAAACAGAAAAGGAGATTTTTTTTAATTAAAGAAAAAGAGAAATGACAAAAGCTTAAAAAATGACAGGAAAAGTGATTTCACTTCCCCCCACCTCAGTTTAGTACTAAATCTATGTGTCATTAATTGTTAGTGTAAATGTTTGGATCATTTCTCTATATGAAGACTAGCAGGCATTTCAGCAGGCTTGTACAGTAGTAAAATATAATTTTTTAAGAGGTCACAACTGTAGATCATGTATTGGACATTAAAAAAATGCATACACCTTTCCAGAACACAGTACTCTTATCCATACTTTGCTCATGTCAGCACATTTGACTAATAACACAGACATTTCAATATCCGGTTTATGTTAGTACTGGTGACATAACTCCATATTAGCATTTTGGCTATTTGTTTGTTCGCTGCCATGGTGAAGCACAAACTACTAGCTTACATTCAAATGATAATATGGTTACATTACACTCTACACACACAGAAGAGTGTTAGAATCACACTGTTAAATAATAGTTCACAAGTGTTGAGTTTTGCCAGTGTTGCTGTTATTAAGGTTTCCCATAGTGCAAATAGTCAAGTATTGTGCTAGCAATGCCAAGGTCATGGGTTTGATGTATAGCCTTCAAATTAATAGTTATTTTTTTAGGATTTGTTACATATGCCATGTGTTCTTTGCATATGTATCCTCTGTTTATACATTGTCTCTATGTGGCATCTTCTCTTGTAGCTAAGCAGTAGCGAGTGGTGCTAGCAATGCAAAGATTATGGGTTAGTTCGCAGGCAATAGATAACCTGATAAAATGTATATTTTGAAGGCAACAGAATTTGAATGACAAATGCTTCTTTGTATGTGTCCAGCAGCTTAAATGGTTGTGTATGGTGTTAGCAACGCAGAAGTAATTTGTTTGATTCTCAGTTTATGCATGAACTGTATATTGAATGCTAAATAAGTTTCTTATGTTTTCATTTTCATTTATTCAGTGGGGTCGGGGGGCTCACCAACAATAAATTCCCCTTCTGGTCTGATCTAGGTGCCCCCGGACCACGATTTCTACTGAGGGGGAGCGATTTCTACCAAGGTCTGTGCACACCACTGCATTTATTCATTTAACATCCAATGTATACCATCCCTACCTTCAATATGTTCTTTTTCACCTACAAACATGAAAGCACCAATGGTGTGACTGACGTCTTCAGTTGATTTGAACTGCTCTGTAAACCAAAACCAAAATTTCACATGCTGCTTACAATGACTCACCTGACGTGGTGGTGGTGAACGTCTCTGATTGGCGGCCTGCTGGAGTCTGTTGAGGTGGGGGAATCTCTTGGCTAGAGGTTTCCCTTAACTCTCTCACTCTAATTTCTGTCCTCAAATCCATTCCTGTTCCTCTTCCTTCTTCTGTATACATGGCTGCTCCTCCATAAAGACTGTTTCTCTGTCTCTGCAGTTCTCGGTCCCTCTCCTTTGCCTCCTTAATGTCCAGCTCCACCTGAGACTGCAGACTCATAGAAGAGCGGAGCTTGAAGAAAGGGTTCTCCTTCACTAAACTCGAGTCTTCATCTTCAGTCACTTCTAACTTTGGGCCTTGTCTTGCTCTGACAGGCTCGGCAGAAGAAGCCCTCAAACCCGTTGAATTCATCGGTCTCACAGATCCTCCATCTGTGCATGAGGTTGTCTTGTAACCTCCGTTTTGTCCTCCCACAGTTGTGGGAATAGCATTGGCCTCTATGATGATTATTTGGCCCTTGATTCCCTCAGTCAGACCAGGTCCTCGAGCAGTAGGTGGGTTGCCGTTGGTGGCTCCATACTGGGCCGTAACTGGTTGGGTGGGAGAATTTTGTGAGAATTGCATTAGGCGTTGTTTAACATCAACAGCAGAATCAACTTCCTGTATTCCAGCAGCAGATTCTACAGTGGCAGATCTTCTGCTAATGGTTGCCACCAATTCCTTCGGCTCTTGAAACGACTCAAAAAGCTGCTTTTTGTCTTGAAGCTGTACCTCTGTTCCTTTGTCATAGAACCCAGGTAGTCGGCCCAGTTCAACCAGAACCTTCTCCCTCTCTGTCTCGGCACTAATTTCCTTCTGCATCTTCTTTCCAGCAAACTGCCGGTCTTTGCTGTGGCTTGGGTTGGGTCTTATCTGAGGGTCCTGGGATAGAATATGCTTTCTCACTGGAATTTCCACAAACTCATTAGTCCTGTCAATGGTGTCGCACAGTCCTCGAGAACGCCTTAGACTCTGCTCTCTCTTCATGGTCAAACGGATCTCCCTCTCAATGGGAGTTTCGTTAGGTGGAGATTCAGAGGGCTGAGGAGCATCATTATCATGGCCCTCCAAGACATCTGTTGTGCTGTTGGGGGAGAAATCAGCTGATACGCCACTATCGCTCTGGCTGTCATCAAAATGATCCACCTGCATTCTGTTGACTTTCCCTTCTCCCAGACGAGGCTTTGTGTTTGACTGGGACTCTGCTCTCTGCCCGTTGGTTCCCCGTTCTTGTCTTTGATCTTTAACCTCCCCCAGCTGCTTTCCTTCGGTCCCACCTGTTTCTGTGAAACACACTGTTTGCTTTCGCTCTTCACCCGTTTCACTGCTCTCTCTCTCCTCCCTTTTACTGTCCCTCCTCCCCTGTGGCATTATCAATGGCTCTTTTACTTCAGTAGAGATACAAGCAGAGCTACCTTGCTCTGGATTGGTTGGCACGCCTGCAACTGTTTCTAGGGGTGGAGCAGCATGACACACCTTTTGCACCTCCTCATTCTCATTCAGACAGCTTGGGTTGTTTACCTCAGGCTCCCCCTTCTGGATGTTCTCAGCATTAACCACAGGTTCAGTTGTGGATTCACTTTGGATGCTTGATGAAGGTTCGGTCTCAGTGAGAAGACTTTTTGAGGAGCTCTTGATATACATCAGGTTTGATGGTTCATCACAACGACTGTCCCGTCTCACCCACTGCTCTCTGGTGGTGGCAAAGTCCACAGGTTTGCAGTCCATATTTTGCTCTTCACTGTTTTCCGATAGGAACACTATTGAGTCAGAGTCACCATGTGACTCAAGCTCATGTCCCTCTTCTTCACAGGCTTCCTTTGGTATTTGTGATGAGCCTTTGTCTGCCTGTGTCATGGTACCAGGTTCTTCACCCTCAGTTGTCGGAACATCTTCACTGGTTTCAGTGTTTTCCTTCACCTCATCTTGAATCTCAATGGCCTGACACCCACTCCTCTCTGGTTGGATATCTTCTTCCAGTCCTGGCACTGGTGGCCACTCTTGATCACCAGTTGGGTAATTTTCAACTGTACTGCTCAAGACTTCCTCTGTTGCCTCAATGGCTCCATCCGCTGGTGAGGAGGTGGGATGATTGTGAGGTTGAGGTGGAAAACCGCTGTCAGGTGTTTCTGTTTTTTCTAACCCACTAATAGCTTCTTTGTCTTTGGGGTCTGTGGCCATGTTTTTATCTTTCTCCATATGATCTTGTATGACTGCTGTTTCCCTATCATCAGTGAAGTGGGGTTTTCCTTCTTTACTACTGCATTCATCCTGGAATTCAGATTTCTGAGGGCAAGTCACAGAATCTGTTTCCATTTTGCAATATATCTGTATGAAATAAATGGCAAAATGCATTATACAATAACAGAATGACAAGTCAGAAGCAGGCTTCCTTTATTTGATTGAATTGGTAGTCAACAAAGTTGTCTCTTACTGATTTTCTCACCTGTTCTTAATTTTTATAGCAAAGAGGTGAGACCCCTGAAGACATTTCTTTGTAAAGGAAACACTTATAGTTTTTTGCTGACTTAGGAAACTATAATCAGCTTATGTTTCAATCCCAGTAGCTCAGGAAGGCTCATACTAAATTGAGTTATAGTGTGACTGCATGGAATCTTTTTCACCATTGCAGTCTGTTGCTTTTGGGTTTTTGCTTCACAATTTTTTGACCTCTATGTCTTAATCAAATTCATTAGGTCATTTATTCTTTAACGCCTATGCCTCCAAGTCAGATTAGTGTCTTTTCCCATTAAGATCACCATAAAATAGGTCACCTGAAACAATTATTTGTAATATTTATTTTATTTTTTTGTCTTTACATCAGGCTATAGACAAGGCATTTCTTTCTGTAACTTCTTGTTTTGCTATGTCATTGTCTTGCACCTTGATCCATACTGTTTTTTTTTTCATATTGCCACATGTGACTAAGAATGATTAACAAAGTTATTAAAATTAGAAAAACATTAAACAGTGTGCAGGGTCAGAAGTGGAACTTTTTCCACCTTCCCAGTCAATGAAGTTTATCTCCATTCTTTAGAAAGTAAAAGTTTAACCAGCTCTTCTCAGAATCATATTTACTTAAATACAAAATCAGATATCCATGCAAGTCAGGTAATATTTTTTTTGTTGACAATGAGTTGATCATTCTCAATATAACATTTGGACACTGTATTGCATTTTCCACTGGACGTAGAAGAAACACAAAGACTTAAAGGTGTGTCATAGCATAATGCTAATTACATAAGGAGCAGATTAATACCGTTTAATCAGATTATACTCTGGACATGAGTGACAAAACAACATGGAAAGTCTGATTCAGGAATAATACAGCAACAGTGAGGTATTCTTAATGTTCCTATGAATTATAGAACACCCACAAACTATATAATTAAGATGAATGAATTTAAAAGGGATGTAAAAGACTGTTGTGAAAATTTAAATATTAAGTATATAAACAAAATCCAAGTAGCACAACTCTATATTTAGTTAGCTACAGTATACTAAAAACTGCTGTCAGCATCCATAAATCTCAAGACACTATGAATAGCTGTCACTAAATATGGATAAGTGCACTTCTTTCACTTGATGTACATCTATGTACACTAGTAATGTGTAGGGCTTTAAATAAAATAATGCTGCAATATCCTACTGATGAGCCCAAGTTGAAATTCCTGACAATGTAACACATACTACTGAGATAAAGAGCTACATGTATTACATGACCCATTCTTATGCATAAAACAAGATGAAAAAGGAAAATAGGCCTACCAGCCGATGAGATGAAAGAAAGGATGGAAGGTCAGCTGAAAGACACAAAGAACTGAAATTGTCCGCCAAGACGTTTTGAAGTGTGCCCCTCTCACCTTATTCCCTTTCTTTCCCTGGTTTCCTTCTCTCTTGAACTCTCTCTCTCTGTACCGCCACCCCCTGCTTAGTAATCAAGGTTAAAATCTGTGCAGTTACTTTCTCTCCTCCTTCCACACTGCACTAAAGCTGTTGAGTACACCATGGGCCTTGCATCACTAATCCAAACAGCTCTCAAAGCCATCATGACTGAAGCCAGGGTTTGAACAGGGGATCTCTTTATGAATAACTTTTAGATTCATACACTATAATGCAAGATCTACATGTTACTACTTTATAATAAGTTTTAATGTTTACATTAGTTAGTGCATTACATTGTAAAAAAAATCCGTAAAATTTACAGTAAAAAAACGGCAGCTGTGGTTGCCGGAATTTTACCGTAAAAAAGACGGTAGCAACGTTTTAGGTTTTCAATTATAACTTAAATTTACAGTTAAATACCATAATTTCATTAACTGATATAATGTTAATATACCAACCTACTGAAGTACTGAAATCTGTTTTGTACCTTTGTAATACACTGATAACCACCAACTGCAGGTGGTGATGAGAAAGTCACATGATGAACCAAAGCCCATCACAAGCAGCTTTTAAATAATAACATACATAGAAGGTGCACAGTGTCATTCACACAAACACTAAACACCATCACGGTAACACACATGAAACTGAAATAATGCAATAAACATTCATTTAACAACGTTAGGTGTAACACACAACCCTAATATACAAAACTGATAAGAAAAAACTAAAAAGAAACATAGTTATTTCAACAAAAAAAACATCATATTTGAAATGTAACGCAGGGAATTCTGGGAATGTCAATTTACGGTTATTCACTGTAAATTATACGGTATTTTTCACTTCCAAAAACGGTATACTACCATAAAATTTATGTCCAATACATGTAATCTCCAATACAGTTTTTCACCGTATATAGTAGGGGAATTTACCGTTAACCATTTAACAGGTGTTTACGGTAGCATTTTTACAGTCTTTTACCGTTAAATTCACGGTCATTTTTTACAGTGTAGGTATCATGAACTAACAATGAACAATAATTTTACAGCATTTATTAATGTTAGGTTACATATACAAATACATTGTAATTTCAGTTAGCATTAGCTAATGTATTATGCATTGAACAGTTAACAATGAAAAGTTTTTTTAAAAAAAGACAGACAAATTTAAGCATAATTACCTTTGTAATTAAACTGGTTAATAAATGCTTGTTCATGATACTGAATGCATTAACTCATGTTGATGAATTGAAAACTTACTGTAAAGTGCAGTGTAGCAGCATAACATTTTATTAATTTAAATATAAATATGGAAACGGTTCAAGCTACTGAATATTTAAAAAATCAGCACTGAAACCCTGAATATACAATATTCTTTTTCATGTTTCATGATAAAAGGATTGTTGCCATTGTTTTTTAAAGGAATTACTATTTGATTCTCGTTTATACATAATTTCCAAAGTATACTGTTTTATCCTTATGTTGATAGCATATACAATCCTCATTATATACCTTCTAAACTATTTCTTGTTTCAATCTATTTTAAGAAAAAGACAGCCTTGATTACATTTCATCAGTTTAGTTTATTAATCCTGCAGCTCTTCCAATGTAAACTTTCTATACAAAATCCTCACTGCTTTTCATTCAGCTCTTTATTTAAACTGTACAAACAGGCACTCAGTTAAGGCACTGAGAATTTACATCAAACTTTCTATGCTGAAAAAACAAGTTCCTGAATTCAACTGAAAACTTTGAATAGTATTGATTACATATCATGGTATGAAACTTGAATCGCTGTCACACACAATTTAAACCGTGTTAATGAGAGACAACAGGAGCAGTCCTTATAGAAATGTTAGTTGGAGAATGAACCTAAAATGGCCAAGATTGATAAAGCAGTTTATGACGTATACTGTATGCTGGACAGAAGTATATTAAGTAAGTACTGTTCATAGGGTCACATTAAAGGGACAGTTCACCAAAAAATTTTAATTCTGTCATCATTTACTCATCCTCATGTCATTCCAAACTTGTATATATCTTTCTTCTGCAGGACAAAATAATGTCTCTTTATTGAAACACTCTTTAAATGATCTTCTGTGTTCTGCAGAACAAACTGTTTTCTTTGGAACAACATGAAATGATTTTCAGCACAGACATTTGAATTTTGGGTAAACCATGCCTTTAAAGTCTAAAAACGCTTCTGTCGGGCAGTTAAAGGCACTCTGTATATATCTTTCTTCTGCAGGACAAAATAATGTCTCTTTATTGAAACACTCTTTAAATGATCTTCTGTGTTCTGCAGAACAAACTGTTTTCTTTGGAACAACATGAAATGATTTTCAGCACAGACATTTGAATTTTGGGTAAACCATGCCTTTAAAGTCTAAAAACGCTTCTGTCGGGCAGTTAAAGGCACTGTAACAATAAAAGCAATCAAACTGAAACTCAGTTCACATCAACAATACAAAAACTCTGAAGATGTTACAGCGTGCATAAAAATCACAGGAAACCATTCCATCTCTTTGCTGTCTCTTTGTTTTGATTCATAAACAAGGCACACGAATGGTTTCTAATAGAGAATGCCACAACTATTGTAGGTTGAGACTTATTAATTACCCACGTGGGTCAATTCCCACGGCACTGAGAAAACAAAATATTTTTATACGGTATAGTGTTAAAACCGTCAAGGCCTCTGTGGGTCGGCAGCCATCGCTCTAGAGTCGCCAGACATTAAAAACAGGATCATAATCAGACACCAGAGGCTGGGAATGCAACCAATGGTGATATATCAACAACAACATGCACACTGAAGCCTTTTCCAGTCTTTTCCTGCAAGGCAATGTGCTTCTTCTTACACAGAAAAGAGTTGTGGGGAATTCAATACAGCGAAGGCAATGCAAGTCTCGAAGGCTTCAGTACATCATAAACACTTTGTGCTTTGACGCCGCTGCAAGTTTCGATGTGAACAGCTGAAGATCAAAAAAACGAATGTCTTGAAATACAAACTCTATATTCAGAGTAACAGACAAGATGAAAAAGAATGGAGAATAAAAAGAGTCAGTCAAACGTCAACAGAGTGTTCACATGATCAAACAGCATTGGCAGGTTTTTTGTTTTGGTGCACCTGCGTCCTCTGCTCGATTTGCGGCGCTGGTATCCAGCTGAGCCGCTGCTTTGGAGACGAGCAGAGGCTCTTGTTCGGCACGCTGTTTCTCTGTTTCTGCCTTGGCGTTTAACTCCACTGTTTCTCCGGCGCCATCCAGTGGAACTTCCTGAAATTGGCTGAGCGAGATGCGCATGGTGGGCTTGACCTCCTCGTCTTTTGGGGTTTGCGATTCTGTTGTGTTTGCTTCGACTTTTGGTCTGATTGTTGGAGATGGTTGTGCTGTGGAATACACTGGAACCTGGGCTGCCTCGATAGTGCCATCTACTGTCACATTCTGGGGATCTTTCTCCTCTTGCTCAAGATCTTGTGTCTCACCTTCAACTGCTACATCTGTAGGTATCTCCTCAGCAGGAGGATCTTCAATCACTTCTGCCTGTTCTGGGTCAGCAGTAGCTTCCGGATGGTTCTCTGTCTTTTCCTCAGCACCATTTTCTTCTGTGTTTCCAGAAATGTCTTCATTTGTGGCGTCCACGGTAGGTTCTTGAGAAGTTTTGTCATCCTCCTCTGGGATTTCCTCCCCTTCGTCTGTGATGATGACTCTTTCTGCTCGAATAATTGCTCCGCCGTCATCATCCTCATCTACTCCCTGCCCAGGCTCCGCCTCCTTAAAGCCAAGGAAGGTCATAGTTACACCACCAGCACCTAGTCCTTCAGCAGGGTGGCTGTTAAAGTCGTTAGCAGAAGCATGTTCGTCCTCTTCTGGACTATTGTGTGATGATTCTCCTTCCACATTTCCGTTAAGAGCATTTCCGTTAAGAGGTGGTGTGGTGTCTGTTTCTGTTTTAGCACCAGTAATCGTTCCTGCTTCCTCCCCATCGTGATTTTCAGCCTGCACTGAATCATCTGGAACAGAACCCAACAGTATGAATCTAGAATCACTTCTGATATTCATACACGATATTGAATACTGAAGTTATTAAGAAAAGGCATTGGCAAGGCAATGCTTTAATTCTATAATTGATGGAATATTAAAGGTTTTTCCTTTATTAAATATTAAACTAATGAGGAAAAGAATGTAAAGCAGACAGACAGAAAGAGAAAGACGGGGGAAAAGAGTGATAGTAGGAGAATATGTTAAAGGTATTGTGGATTGTTGCTGGGCCATTGCTATGTGATGGTTAAGGTGTTCTGGGCGTATTTTAGGGTGTTGTTATGTGTGTTTATTGGTCATTACATATCAGGTCCCTCCTTGAATAAAAATTAGGGATGCACCGATACCGATATTGGTATCGGGCCCAATACTGCTCTCCTGTACTCGTACTCGTTAAAATGCCCCGATACCAAACGCCGATACCACACAGTATGTGATAAGCGCCATATTCAAACAAAGAAACACCGACAACAGAACAACAGACAGCAGAAAGGAGTTAAGGATGTCTACTACGAAGTATATGTATGCAATGAATATAATGTTAAACATTCAGTATTAACGCCTGTATAGCTGATGTGCGCGAGCTGATAAACAAAGCACGCTGAGTGGATTGAGCGAATATATCTTTCTCACAGACATCACTGGAAAGTTTGTAGTTCGGTCGGATATGTCAAAAACAAGTAAGTAAAACAATGCACAAGTTACTTAACTGTAGGGAGAGAGAGAGAGAGAGAGAGAGAGAGCGAGAGAGAGAGAGCGCGCGCACTTCTGTTGTGTGATCTTTGATGTTCACTCACTTAGCACACGTACGCATCATTTGGATTAAAACTAAATCGTAAAAATAAGACCATTTATAGAGGCATTCACGATAAACATCATTTATTTTCAACCGTAGGCATTCACGACTTTCTGGCGAAAGTGAATCTAGCAGCCTGTGTGAAATGAGCTAGTCTGTACTACTGTCCTCTCATTCTGAATCGGTACAAATACCTGCAGGCGTTGCGCGTGTTTTGCTTGCTTGAGCGTTTCTGCATTATATGAGTGGCTCGTTCATATAAATCGCAGCACGTTTCCGATGAAAAAAACGCTACTTCTATTTCTGAAAATATCACAGTTAGGAGCTTTATAACGGCATTATTACAGCAAAGCGCGTGATTACAGTACTAAACCGCTGCTCTAATGCTATTAAATTAAAGAAGATGTACCATAGAGCAAAAAAATTAACAGTGAAAGTAACAAAAACTATTTGTATAAATACATTTTAATGGACATAATTAAGTGTGAAAATAACCGAAGGATATACAGTGAAACCAAACATGATTCAGAGATCAGATATAATTTTTTTACTAGTGGGTGCAGGAAACTATAGTTCATTTATGTAAGTGAGGATAGCAATATAAAGTAAATTGTGACAAATCATACCCAAAAATTCTTCATACAGTGGACTACCAGTAAAATTGATACAAATTTAGGTCCAAAAATTATTCAGACTGAGTCTGGGGAAAAAAACTAAAGCTGAGGTTTGCATGAAGCTGGTTGACAGCATGCCCAGGAGACTACAGGCTGTCACTGAGGCTAAGGGTTGCCCAACTAAGTATTGATAGTTGTGTAAATACTGTCATACTAACAGCTGTCTGAATTATGTTTGGTTGATTGTAATCTATTACATACCTTTCTATCAAAATTATCTAACATTATCAAGATGAATTTGTTCTGACACAGTGTAACTCTGAGTTCTTGTCATATTTTATTACCATTTTCTAAACTATAGCGAATAAACTATGATAATGTGAGAAATGTTGAAGGTGTCTGAATAAATTTTGGTTTGACTATCTATTTGATAAATGAAGTTAACCAACTAACATTATACATACCCTTTTGGTTTCTGTACCCAATATTTAAAAAATGTACAAATGCAATAAAAATATCGGTATCGGTACTCGGTATCGGCAAGTACCAAAAATAAAACTATCGGTATCGGGCGAGTACTGGAAAAAGTGGTATCGGTGCATCCCTAGTAAAAATGTATGTGATTTTTTTTCAATGATAAGTTAAGGCCAATTCACACTGTGCCAACAGACACAGAGTTTTGTTGGATAGTGTGCTACCCATATTTGCGTTGATTGGCACTTGCCAGCTTGCCAGTTTTTGCCAGCTGAACATGTTATATCTGCTTTTGTTGAGTTTTGGAATGTCTGAGAAATGACATACTGTAATGGTGACCTTGATTTCACCAAGTACAACATGTTCCTGGATCAACATCCTTGTTGATCCAGGAACATCATTCCAATTAACCAATCAGATTTGAGGGATAACTTTTCAGGAAATATCTGTTTTAGGCTTACAATCAGGGTTAAGTGCTTCTACACCCTTATTAATCAGCTATCATTTTACACTGATTTTAGGAATAAATTATGGGTAGGTTTAGGGGTAGGGATTGGGTTTAGTCTATATTTTTGGACAGTAATGTTGATCCTGGATCAGCAAAAGATCACGGCGACCATACTGTAATCCGATGACCGACGCAGTTGGTCTGCATCTGTTGGTGCAGTTACCAAAGTCTAAAGAAAGAATAGTATATAATCACTGATATTTTATACCTTTGTTTTCCTCTTTTCCGTTCTCCATGATAGGTCCATTAGGGTCTGCCTCAGCAATTGCTGTTTGATCAGAAACATTTATGATTGATATTAGTTCAATAGCATACTATTTAGATGAGACTGTCTCCTTGGAACAATAAGATTACATCTGACATTTTGGTCAAAATTGAGTTATTCACATATTCTTATTCTGTGACAACTTATTTACATTGTGTTTTTAAAAAAAAGTTTTTTAAGTGTATATTTTGGGACTTTTTATTTAAATGTTATCTAGTATATGGAATTCAAAAACTTTGAAGCTCATTGTCTCAAAATCACTCAGAATGCAGACAGAGTCATATAATTCCAAGGTGGCAAGATGTTATTGTTAATATATTAAAAACATGTTCATTACAAAATATTATGGTCTGTTATTATAAGTCTAAAGTAGATTGGTAAGTCTTCACAAAAAGTTTAAATTCTGTAACATGCATGAATATTATCAGAAATATACACTACCTTTCAAAAGTCTGAGGTCGGTAAGACGTCTTAATGTTTTAATTACAGTTTAAAATAAATATATTTTTAAATGCAATTTATTCCTGAGATGGCAAAGCTGAACTACTACATTACTCCACTCTTCAGTGTCACATGATCCTTCAGAAATCTGCAGCTCTAGCAACATTTATTATCATCAATGTTGAAAACAGTTGTGCACAATTTTTTGCAACAAATTGCATTCATGCTGAATAAAAGTATTCATTTTTTTCCACAATAAATGGAATAAAAAGAATAAATAGAAAATCTTGACCCCAAACATTTAGATGGTAGTGTACATAATATACTATTTAATAATATTAAGTATCACTATAAATTGATTACTGATAATTCATGTTGTTTCATGTTATGTTATGACTTCATAAATATAAAAAATATATTAGTGTTCGACTTGATCAATAAATGCTGTAGAGGTATTGTTGTTAGTGGATGATCTCTGACACATCAACTCATGTTATCAATCTGAACCTTATTGTAAACTCGTACCAACTGAATTAACCAGGAATTAATTTAACACAGATTCACAACTATTGTTTTGTCAAGGATTATACTCTTTTGTGTAAGCAATAATCAGGTCTAGAAAGCAGACAAGCTTGATGCTGTGTAACTGAAACAGACAGGCAGATGGTTAGCCTGGACACAGGTGCGGGACAGAGAGAGGACAGGTGGCACACACTCACCTGCTCCCACTGGCTCCACCACGGCCTCTCCCTATCGGATGAACAAGAGAGAAAAGGTCAACAGTCATCCTTAGAGAGGACACATCACACTCTCATTCTGCTGCTTAATATTTCATTCAAGGCCATGGAACATTTATGGGTGGAAGAGCTTGTCTCTGATCAGCCTCCATTCTACACTAGAGAAGTTTCCTTTCTAAGTTCATTAACATGCACCCCAATATCCCAACCATCTCCCAAATACTGCAGCATTCTGCTTCCAATGTGATTTAGAGAAACACCATAAACCATTTACTGAAGGTATACTCACAATTTTCCCTCATTAAAACATTTACACAAAGAAATGAATATTTTTTTATATACTTATAAAAGCAGTTGTATTTTTTTATGTCCCTTCATGTGCAGGTCACATGACCAGATGAGAACTAGTACTCACTTTATCTATGAGAACTGCTCACTTTACAAGTATAGCAAGCATTTGCTCATGGAATTAATTAATCATGGCTGGTAACAAATAGAAGCTGACATGCACTAAAATTACTAAGTGACGATTTAATTAATTCAGTTAATATTATTACCATATTGAGAACATTAAAAACATTAATTGTAAAATGAAATAGTTTTGACGTTAACTGAAAATTAAAAGACTAGCTAGCCAGTTTCAGGTTTGTAGCGCTTGTGTCAGATTTGTGTGATTATAATTTATAACTCGCGCTTCCTTTATTGTTGTAAATATCAGCAATCATCTAATTCATGTGAAGCTTTCCCCGTTTCACCGCTAATACTTTCTTTCACTCACTCTGATTGGATAATTAGGGGTGATCTTTCATCTTTCATCAACTTTAGAAAAAATATGGCTCTGTTGCCAGATTCGTTTACCAACAGACAGACACATCAGCTTCAGTTACCACAAGGTGGAGTCACACCAACACTGTACAGTATGTTACATATACAGTATTCAATGCAGGCAGTATTTATTTAATCAATGCAAAATTGTAATCACAAAAAATACAGCATTGATACTGCATGACCTTTCTTTGAGTCATCATGAGTATACAGAGTATTTAACCTTTCATTCTTATTTAGAGATATCGCAGAGATATACAACGTAGTGTACACACTGTAGCAGTTAACTACTGCCAACTATAAACTGACCCCAAACTGACACAATACAGGAAAATATTAAAATAATCTGAAGGGAAATTTTTGAAATGTACTGTTGTTATTTTGACTCTTTAGTTACTGCAAGTCAGCCTCAAAAGAACATGAAGGTTCACATTAGTGCCTGTGTTTTTGTGTTGGTCAAATATGAATATACATCAGTTGTATTCATGTTGCTTTAGAAATGTATTTGTCTTGAAGAAACACATACAATAAGACCAAGACCAAGACCCAGCTTAAAAGAATAGTTCACACAAAAATGTAAATTTGCTGAAAACTGATTCACCCTCAGGCCAAACAAGATGAAGAAACAAACTCATCTATATCTTGGATAGTTTTTCAGCAAATTCATTAACATTTCATGTTAACTATTTCTTTAATTAGAATAACTTCAATTCTATAATATAAGATATAGTCTTACTGCAGCCCACCACAGCAACTCTGATTCAACAGCCTTCAGTGTGTGTTTTTAAAGACAAAATAATGTGTTTACTTACAGTTCAGCTGACCTCCATACAAGGTTGTTTGTTGTGATGGTAATGAGTATTAAAAAAACAGCCCTGACTTGCTGCTACTTATAAACAGCTCATAATGATTTCAGAGAGTTGTGCATCTTACAGTAAAGTGTATTGACTTAAACGTACCATGATCCTTCTCAAATCATTTTAATATTCCGATGTGGTGTTCAAGAAACATTTCTTATCAATATTTAAAAGTTGTGCTGTGTATCATATTTTTGTGGACCCCATGACACATTTTCTTTGAGAACATTTTTGTAACATTATAAATGTCTTTACTATCTCTTTCGATCGATTAAATGCATCCTTGCTGTATAGAAATACCAATCTTACTGACCACAAACACTAGTGTGAATAGTTAGAAAAATGATTTAGGAGGTGAAAAGCTCTGACACAAGCAGACGTGTGAAAGCAGCAGATGCGTGTTCAGCATGATCATGCATTCAGACATGGTGTCTCACCTTATGCTGTGTCTGAGCGTCTGTGCCAGTTTGACTGGAACCGTCTTCAATGAGTTGCTTCAGTTTCAGTTCTTCCTCTGCCAACTGCTCAGACGTCACCTGTAATCTAAAGCACATATATGCATGTCATGTTTTATAAGGTGGAAACCTACCATTGGCTTGTGGTTTTCTTTAAAGGGGTCATATGACGTTGCTAAAAACAACATTATTTTGTGTATTTGGTGTAATGAAATGTGTTTAAGCGGTTTAAGGTTAAAAAAACACATTCTTTTCCACATACTGTACATTATTGTTTCTCCTCTATGCCCCGCCTTTCTGAAACGCGTCGATTTTTACAAACCTCATCGGTCTGAAAAGCGAGGTGTGCTCTGATTGGCCAGCTATCCAGTGCGTTGTGATTGGCCGAATACCTCAAATGTGTGTTACGCCCCTTACCATATAATAACGTGTCCCGGCGCGATGAGACAAAACCAATAAAATAAAACCCATTATAAACGAGGCATTTGTTGCATCCAGTGGGGACATAATTACTGATTATAATGACTTATACTGTCTTTTTACGCGTTGCGTTGCATCGCGCCGCATAAACATAAAACCATGTCTGCATTTGTGATCGGAGAAACGACAAACAACAAGCGCAACACTGTAGGGTTGTGACGGTGAGGACATTTTCCCACCAGTTAATCGACGTGTGACAACACCGGTAATACCGGTATCAGCGTGGGGGCGGGGCATTCCCTCTTTTCCTCGCTTTCCTTCGCTTTTAAATAGCTTGTAAAAGCTGCGTGTGCATTTTACTTTCACTTTCAAATAGCGGCAATTCGGCGTAAAGCAATTGTTAGTTTTTAGTTAGTTTGAATTTCCCCTCTTTTCCTCGCTTTCCTTCGCTTTTAAATAGCTTTTGAATTTTTTTTACACTTGACATTTCTTGTTAGAAACGGTTTTATTTCTGGGAAGAGCAAGGTACTGTTGGGGGGAAAGTAAGAGCATATTAACTTATATTAACTAAATTTTTCAGTATCAATCCAACAGTATAGACAAAACAATATATTCTTTTTTTTGTCTACTCTATTATATGAAGTCATGAATTTTTTATTAATTTTGTTTAGTTGGTTCATTTGGACATTTAAATCAGCTGGTTTAAAGAAAACATTTCACTGATTCATTTGAAACCTGCACAGCATTATATGGTTTTGGTCACACTTTAGTTTGGGGATCAACTCTCACTCTATTAACTATGACTTTTGCCTCAATAAACTCCTAATTTGCTATATAATTATAATTAGTAACGTAGTTGTTAAGTTTAGGTATGGGGTCAGATTAAAGCAGTGATGGGCAAACTTGGCCCTTCCAGGCCACTTTCCTGCAGAGATTTGATCCAAACCTGATAAAACTCACCTGCCTGTAGCTTTCTAGTAGTCTTGAAGACAATGATTAGCTGGTTCAGGTGTGTTTGATTAGAGTTGGAGCTAAACTCTGAAGGAAAGTGACCTGGAAGGGCCAAGTTTGCCCACCCCTGGATTAAAGGATCTAAAATATGATCATGTAGAATAAGGCATTAATATGCACTTTAAGTACTAATAAACAGTCAATATGCCAATATGCATGCTAATAAGCAACTAGTTAATAGTGAGAATTGGTTCCTAAAATAGTGTTGCCATGCTTTTAGTAGCAATACACACACAAAAATCTTATTACAATAATTTTGCAAAATAATATAACAGAGTCAAATTCCGCTGTTCATTCCTACGATTCAGACTATTTTTTATATATATGTATATTATGGTGATTTGATGATATATTGTGTAATTTCTAGGATCAAATACAATTAGATTTTGATTGTTTTTGTGTGAGAAAATTACTACTTTTGATTGCAGAAAATAAAACATGAAATCAAGTTTATTTACGTTCTTGCTGCAGGCTCCAGGACTTATTGATAAGGATTCATCAGCGCATATAATTCCAAAGCAAAGATTCAGTCAAAATGTAATAACTTCATGTTCTTCATCTGAAATTACTTCCAAAATTTTGTGTAGGCACCGTTTAAGCAAACTCTCATTCAGTCTGGCTGCATTCTGGCCTACTTTTCACGATCCTATCGATTCCCAGGCTACTATCTTGTTTCACTCAGAATTATATTATGGAAGTAAAATAAATTGTGAACAACAATTAACATTAGGTTTTAAAAGCTTTAATTATGTCCCTCTAAATGGCTTCAACGTAGTTTTTATTAGTAGCTTTTAGTGTAGCTAAAAACTTTTGCTAAAGTGTAGTTTGTCTGTAATCATGATTGTTTTGACTACAGCCCGACCAATATGGGTTTTTTGGGGCCGATACCGATATTAGGGAGTAAAAAAGGCCAATATCGATATATCGGCCGATATTCATTGTGTATATTATAGTACAGTACCAGTCAAAAGTTTGGACACTTTCCCATTCGTGTGTCCAAACATTTGAATGGTACTATATATAGAATACAGTATATACATAAATAGAATATATATACATACACATTTTTTGCAATGATCACTCAAATGTGTTGATGAAACACTTATAATGACGTGACAGAGATATGTAATGGAGGCAGGGCATTTAACAATTTAACAATAAACTTTATTATCCAAAATGTAAAGTTGAAATTTATTCAACTTCAATTAAATTAAATTCTATTCAACTTTATTCCATTGAAGTTTATTTCGCTTCGGAACATTCATTCACGGATTTGCGCTACTGTACACACAGACGAAACTTACTAGAGAAATGTGAAGTGTGACAATATACCTCTGTAAATAAATACAAAATAAATTCACGTCTCGCGCACTTTAATGCCCTTTGAATGTAACGTGTACGTTCCCTTGGAACTGGAATCATGGTGGAATTTCATGTGAAGTCCACTTCGCAGGGCACTTACGGTCGAATAAGACAACGCTTGAATGCTGCCTGAACAAGAGACCTCCTTACTGAAGTGAAAGTGTTGACTGGTGTCACTATCTCGCGAACGCAAGCCGCGGATCTCCACTAAATTCGTGGGATCCCTTCAGCTCGAGGAGCCCTATCGAACGCCACCCTCCGCGCGTCGGTAGCCGCCTGTTGTTGCCCCCTGATAATGTTTATATCGATATATCGGTCGGGCTCTAGTTTTGACAACCTACAATTTCAAAGGAGCTTGCCCAACAGGTTCCCATAATATACTGTAGGTTTTTCAGGATTTACTATCAGACAAACAAGATGCGCAAGTGAGCCTGCACTCACGTGGACTCATTTACTCAATCGCAATCCTCTCTGGAAATCACAGCATGCTTTATAGCTATATAAAACTGCATTGTAACAAATACAGGCATTAAACGAATCACTCCTCATAGGATGAGAGGCCTCAGATGGCTGTTTACACACCATGAAATTCTGTTCCCTATAGGGCTGTGAGCAGCTTATTACTGCCAAACTTTGCTCTGACTAATTAAAGCCCTGCTTCAACACAGAAGAACATCTCAGCGGCCAGCTTATTACAATAATCACCATCTCCTTCAGTCAAGCAAATAAATGCTGATCTGCAAAGCAGGAACTTCAAATACTCCTTCTCACTCACATGCAGAAATAGAAAGATATTTTGGGGGATAAAAAAAAAACCATCACCTACTTGGTGCTCCAGTTCTTTGGCAGGAATAATTAGTGGTGTTTGCAGAGGGAAGCAACATTATTACTACTGTGTGTATGATTAGAGTATTGAACAAACTCTGAAGTATTAAACTTCAGCTTGTAACTTATCTTATACAGCAATATATATATATATATATATATATATATATATATATATAAATGCGGTAAAGTGCTCATGGAAGAGATTTATTTATTTTGGTCAGGGATTTGGCAGTTGTGGTCAGAATTATTAGCCCCTTGGTACAGTAAATATGAGCAAAGATGCTGTAGAAATAAATCTGTCTTGTTTATCCTTATGATATTTTATTCTAAAAATTCACAAAAATCTAACCTTTCACTGATGCAAAACAACTGAAAGTGGGTAAAAATCACATGATGTTTTTCTCCAATACACACTGGTCACAATTATAAGCACCACTAGAAATTCTTATGAATAAAATGTCTCTAAAGTATATTCCCATTCATAATTAATTTTTTTTAACACACCAGGGTGACTATGAACATGAAATTTTGACTTCCTGTTTCCCAAAAATGTAAATATGAGGGAACACAAAGGCCAAATTCCCTTAATCATCCAACACAACGATTCACGCCGAAGAATATAGTTCTGATGTGCAGCGAAAGATTGATGAGCTTCATAAAATGTAAGAAAAAAGTTCCCATTTCCACCATCAGGACAATAATTAAGAACTTCTAATCAAGGAGAGACCCAAGCCATATATAGAGAGCAGAATATCACAGAGAAATTGTGGCCCGGCAAGCAACCACCCAAAACACAGTTGCAACCATCTAGCAATGCGCTATAACACTCAGAAAACCCTTGCAACTGTGTAGAAACATGCTAAAAATACTCAGAACAGCCTATAAACTGCACAGTAATGTGCCAAAAACAATTCAGATCACCTCAGCAATCACATATAAATTTTCTGGTAACCAAGCGAAATATTTTTAAATATTATAAAAATAAAATATAAAAAATCTTACTTGTTAATGTGTGTCTCTATCTCCTGAGCATTAGCGCCCCAGAGGGGTGATCGAGGTCCTGTACTGTCAGGAGATGTAGGAGGTCCTTCCATCAGCCACTGGTCTCTGAGGGACTTCCTCTGTGAGAGAAACAGGGAAAGGAGGAAGAAGTAATTAATGCGGCGACACATTATTTAAATAGATTTCTTATCAGCGGTTCACACTAACATCCAAACAAAGGCATTGAAGCACGCTGGTTTCTGGAGCTTAAAGGCCTATTCACACCAAAAGTTAATATTTGCCATAAAAACACACGAGATTGAATTGAAAAAAATGCATGTATTAGAAAGCCAATGGGCAAATGTGACCAGGATGTCAAGGTTATGCTTAAGTAGGCCTGTCATCATTTTGTCTCTCATAGTTGAGGTATACCTATGATGAAAATTACAGGCCTCTCTCATCTTTTTAAGTGGGAGAATACTTTTTTCCCCCACTGTATGTACATGACCTCAATAATTTTTTGTGCGACGCAATATATCGCCCATTATATTTACTTAAAAATTTATGTCACCATGTTTTGTACATTCCATTTGCGCCTGTGTCTTTTGCAGCTTCTTGTATATAACGTGATGTAGTCATGAGGTGCTAGTTCAAATTTAAAAAATGCTTCTACAAAAAAGTTTCATCTGCAGATATGGTCTTGTTTAGGGATCTGTGCCTTTGTGCATACGGACATCTGACTGCTAAGTAGTGGTTGTGTTTTTCAGCAATAGTGTGCACCCTTCATTTACAGAGAAAAGAAGGTCAGGGGAAAATCTGTAGATGGAAAAATCTCCATACAAGTTCTTTGTGCATTTCTCTTTTTTTCTACTTGATACTTTGCACTTTTTCTTGGAAAATGTTTATTTACTATTTATTCAGGTTTTTAAAGGTATCTAATATTTTGATAATTTCCATGATCTAAATATTCTTAAAAATTAAACATTTGTTGTCATTTGGAAGTGTGTAGGCCTTCTTTCATTATTATGCCCTTACATTATGATTATATACTCAGTGGCATAAAATGGTCTTTAAAATGACAATAATATCGCTTGTTGCAGTTATTTCTGGGGCAATATATCGCACAACAAAAAGTTGTTATCGTGACAGGCCTATGCTTAAGCTCACAAAAGTATTGTTTATTTACATGGTCTTATGATGTTGCTTAATTGTTGCATGGTATGAATTGTTCAAGACCACACAAAATCTAAATTGGAATTGTGTGGCTTGCAATCCATGTATTTAAATCTATATGTGAATGTGTTTCTAAAAGTTGACTAAATAAACTAGCAGATGTAGGCGAAATTTACATTCTCTGCTGATAAAAATTTGTGTAAACAAATTTATGTCTAATAATATCTCTTAAATAACAAAGTCCCTCCTACCCAGCACTGACTAGCAATAGCAGGAAGCATATTATTGTGGTTTGTTATGTGTGTAATAAGAGTATGAGCATTAGTGCAACCAAAGACACATAACAAACCATATTCTATAATTTAGGGTACATTTCACATCAGGAAAAAGTGTAAAAACTACATGCTTTCTCAATAAAACAACTATTGGTTTTAGTTGATATATTTTGTCAGTGTAACTTATCTGCTATTTCCCAAGCTGCTATTTATGGACAAACTATATGGGTAACGTTGTTAACAATTTTACCATTTTGACTCATAATTTTCTATAGCAGGCCTTGTCTGGCCAATTATAGGGCTAAAACGTATTTGAATTAAAACCCCCAGAATATTGTAAACCTTAACAATGTACTCAACATTGTTGATGGTCAATTAATACACTTCTTGACAGTAGTTCACAGAAGATCAAATCATGTACAGTATCTCACAGAAGTGAGTACACCCCTCACATTTTTGTAAATATTTTATTATATCTTTTCATGTGACAACACTGAAGAAATGACACTTTGCTACAATTTAAAGTAGTGCGTAACTTTACATTGTAGCAAAGTGTCATTTCTTCAGTGTTGTCACATGAACAGATATAATAAAATATTTACAAAAATGTGAGCGGTGTACTCACTTTTGTGAGATACTGTATGTGTTTTTCTTTAGATTTTGTCCATGGTACAAGCTGTCAAGATCGGAAAAAAGTCAAGTTGTTTGATATGTAACACCTCAACTTCCTGTTTCAGCAGGAGACAATACCAAAAAAAAGGGAAAAGTGTTTGTCTAACCATTTCATGGGGTCTTTCTGAAGGTAGAAAAGTTACAGTGCACTTGGAGTGAATAATTCTGCTGCAAATTTATACAATTTAGAGAATGCCAAATGGTTAAAGTCTAAAATGAAATTTCCTGCTGAGCATAATGCACTTTCACTCCTCTGCTAATTCCACCTCCAACAGCAAAAACATCTAACAACACATTTCTGAAAGGTTATATCAGGACCATCTAGTGTGTATTTGACTAATAATAAAACACGGCTGTGTGTATTCTGACATATACAGTAGATCGACGGGGAACTCCATAAAGTGCACAAAAGTGCAGCCACCAGCTGCCACACAGGAAGTGATGTGCACCATGGAAACTGAAAATGTATGAGGACTAATGTAAGATAACACAAGACAACAGGGGCTGTGAGATAACTTTATCTACATGCATGATTTCATTATGATTATTAACCCTAAATAGAAACCCTACAAACACAGTTTGTACTACTTATCACAAGGGCGTTTTTTTTTGTCCAGTGGCCACTTTTATGTTTCAGTGGTTTTAAGTAATACTGAAACCTTTCAACTTCATTGTGATCTCATTTAAACTTAGAAACTTGTCACAATTCCTTACTTTAGTTTTCCTACTTTTCAAATGTCTTTAATATATAAATTTTATAGATGTCCCTCACCCAGACTTTCAATCTTTAATATTTTAAAAGCTATGATAAACAGTAATAATCATAAGCCATACTGATATATATTATCTGAAAATGAATTTGTACACAAATTATTCAAAATCATAAGTCATAATGACAAAATTTTTTACTTTAAGTTTTCTTCTCATTTTGACATTTTGTCATAATTTCAACTTACTTTCGTCAATTTATTTTCTCATATTCAAAGAAGGTTTTCCTATGAATTAATTAGTAGAAAAGTCCATTTCTCCTGTGCATTTGTGTCCCTTTGTTTCTGGAGAATGCAGCTAAGTAGTCGGCTCGCATTCCACAAGGTTGTAAATGTATCGGGTTACCATGAAACCAGGGTCTTGTTCTGGCGTCCTGGGGTGTTACAAAGTATTTGTGAAATCTAGCTAACAAAATATATATTGTGTGTTGGAGTGGTCCAGACGCTACAAATGTAATAGGTAACAGATTACAAGTTACCCTATTTAAAATGTAATAAGTAGTGTAACTATTTCAATTACTTTATTAAAGTAATGTAACTGATTACTTTTTGATTTATTTTCTAAATTTCTAATGTTTTCAACTGTTAACCATTTTCAAACAGGGTTAACCTACAGTAGAACTCAACACTGATTACTGTCAGACTTTCAAAATCCTTCATTACTTGAATTAAGATTATAATAATTTCATTTTAAACTCTTTTAACTTTGAGAGTTCTGAGGTTAAGAAAATAGAAATAGTTTAATATGATACTGTTTTTTAAATCAAATATTTGCATAGCTATGACATGAAGGTCGGTGTACTTTTGCATCAATTCGTTTGTTATTTTTTTAACCATGATGAAAAAAGAATGGTTATTGTATTTTTAAATGCTATGCTGAAAACCAAAACTGAAATTAGAGCTGTCCGAAAAAGTAAAATATTGACTTCTTTTCAGATTTTTGTTAATTAAGTTTTGCACTTTTAATAAACATTTGAAAAATGCACAAATTAATATATGCCGATTTTAACAAGTTTTCTTTGGCCAAATTTAGTAATGCTTCTCCGGCAAGTTCAGTTGAGAACTAGAGCTGTCTTTGTAACATAATGCAGAGACTTAATACAAATATGATTTTTAAAATAGACATTGCAGAATCCTGGGAAATTTATCGTCATGAATTGATATAGCCTATTGGGATATGAATGACTGCACAATGAATCTCTTATTTACGTCATGCTACACTTTGTTTATTATAATGGGAGACTCCCAAGCGTGCAAAACTGAATAAAAATTGTGGCTTGGAGTTGATTCTAACTTAAAAGCTTGCCCACTCAGGAAATCAACAGAATATGTCAGTGATGGCTACTGATCAGTGCTACAAAACACGTTGAAAATAGAAATCTCCAGGGTTCAAACACAAATACACACTGGAGCATTTGGAAAATATGTTTCGCCAGTATCCTATTTCTAGCTTTAACCAAAGTCCCTTGTCTTTGCTTTAACTGACCTTCTCTTGCTTTCATTTCGTTCCCTCTAGCACTCCCGTAGAACTTGCCCAGGATCTATTTGCAAAGAAATATGTAATGAGTATTTCATAGGCTACATGTTTTTAGGCGTGAAAAATGATTAAGATCATAAAAATATCGAAGCTAAAGGTTTTCAGAAAGCAGTTATGGTAGCCACGTCAGTAGTGCGAGAGGGCGTTAGCGTCTGTATAGAGACTCTAAAAAGGGAAGAAATTAAATTTAGCATTTATATACATTAAAAACAAGCTTTATATAATTTTTACGATTTTTTAATGAAATACGAATTTTGAATAATGAAAATTAGTTTGTATCTGCTTATTCTATTCATCAGTGTTTGAACCATTAAAGAAGAAACCGCATTTTCCGTATTTAATTTCTGGGTTAAAAAACGAAAAACGAATGGACACTGATCATGTGACTCCGAAGATTGAAGTAATAATGCTGAAAATTCAGCTTTGCCATCACAGGAATAAATTCTATTTTAAAATATATTAAAATAGAACGAGATGAACGAAATGAAATGAACATGACATGAGTGTGTTTATTCTCAACTTTTTTCTCGAAATATTTCTCGTAATATAATGAGTTTATTCTCAACATTTTATTTTGACTTTTTTCTCGAAATTTAACGACATTTTTCTCGTAATTTAACGACTTTTTTCTCGTAATTTAACGACCTTTTTCTCGTAATTTAATGAGTTTATTCTCAACATTTTATCTCGACTTATTTTCTCGAAATTTAACGACTTTTTTCTCGTAATTTAATGAGTTTATTCTCAACATTAAGACTTTTTTCTCGAAATGTAATGGGTTTAATCTCAACATTTTATCTCGACTTTTTTCTTGAAATTTAAAAAAAATTCTCTCGAAATTTAACGACTTTAATCTCGAGATGGTTTTATTTTTATATTATTGCTTGGCCCTAATCCTCTTCCGTAGGTAGAAATTTTAATTATTTTAAAATAACCAATATGTTTTGGTTACATTTTCTTACAGTCATGAAACACAAATAACATATGTGATACCTCTTCTTTTAGTGATAACGAATCTCCTCCCAAACAGTGTATAGTATATGTAATTTTAAAATGCAAAAGAAAGAAAAAACCAACACTTTGTGATACAAGTGTGCGTGTCTGCAGAAAAGTATCATCTCTCAACCTGGATTGTATTTCTAAACTCACAAAGTTGTCCTCTGTAACCGTAAGCTTTCAATGTTGGTGCTACATGTATAAATGTTGAATTTTAGACAAAATCAACCACTGAACCCGAGGGTCATCATGACTTAAAATGAATACTATAATGCATTCAGAGGACATGGATATTTCGTATAACACCAAGCAGGTGAAGAGACTCTTGGGTAGAGCGTCTTTGCAGTTGTCTGGTGTAGTTTTACCTGGTCTGGACAGACTCCATCACACTTAATAATTCAGGGGCCACAGAACACATCTAACACCAGTTTCCATGCATGTGTGTGTTTGTGAGAGACATGCTGTACACTCTTAAAAATAAAAGTTCTTTGTTGGCATCTATGGATCCATGAAGAACCTTTAACACCCATGAAACATTTCCATTGCACTGAAGACTCTTTGTCATTGAAAAAGCTTATTTAAATTGTTCTTCACACAGACATAAAAAGTTTCTTTTAAGAACTGTTCATTGAAAGTTTCTTTGTAGAACCCAAAATTATTTTCTGTCAAAACCCCTTTTGAGCCCTTTATTTTTAAGAGTGTACCAAATACAGTCTATTTGTTTTCATGCACGTTTCTATTAAAAGCACAATTCGTAATGGCTACCTCTGGAAGTCCACAGGTACTGCAATAATAAATGTTGTCAAACAGCAGCAGACTCTAATATGATGGATGTGTCTGTATGTTTCCGCGTGACACTGTTTGCAGGGCTTAAGCGGCGCTGTCATTTAAATGCTAAATTAATCCACTGCACGCTGTTGACGGGTTCGAAATGTCACATAATGATATATGAAATACAAACATGGCTTCTGTGGGACGTACCTCTATAGCTTTCAGTCGCTGCTGGTACTTCTCTGCTTCATGTTCCATCCTGGACCTGGAATATAAGAGACTGCATTATGTATCCCATTATTTTTATTTTAAAATACAATTTTATAAAAGTTGCAGTAAACACAGTTATAATGTTACAAATGACTTTTGATTTCATGAACAGCTGTGAAGTATTTTTGTATACTAGGTGTCAGTTTATGTTGATATTCAGGTGAAATTTCATCTTGTGCTTTGTTATTGGCTTGTAGCGCTTCTCATAAAGTGCTCCCACACAACAGCTCATTTAGTATTAGGCATAGATGAATCTTAGTTTCTCTTTCTAAGCATGTACCAACAAATCTTTGTTCTTTTGCTCATTTGAACTCTTTCTGATCAGTGTCAGATGTCTTGTTTTGTAGCAACATCTCTGAGTGTTCTGATGACGCTGGAGTTTAGTGTGTATATCTCAGTGAAGCTTCTACTGTAGCTGACCCGTTGATGTCCACTTTGCTCTC